TCTCCTCCATTCTCCTCTCGGGATCTTGGGCACGCACGCAGACGCGCCCGGTGTGAGTTTAAGCCACCAGATCTGGGACTCAAACTGCGTACGACTGCAGGGGAAGCCAGTGACATAACCATTGCGCCAACTGCTGGCCCTTCTCCTCCATTCTCCTCTCGGGATCTTGGGCACGCACGCAGACGCGCCCGGTGTGAGTTTAAGCCACCAGATCTGGGACTCAAACTGCGTACGACTGCAGGGGAAGCCAGTGACATAACCATTGCGCCAACTGCTGGCCCTTCTCCTCCATTCTCCTCTCGGGATCTTGGGCACGCACGCAGACGCGCCCGGTGTGAGTTTAAGCCACCAGATCTGGGACTCAAACTGCGTACGACTGCAGGGGAAGCCAGTGACATAACCATTGCGCCAACTGCTGGCCCTTCTCCTCCATTCTCCTCTCGGGATCTTGGGCACGCACGCAGACGCGCCCGGTGTGAGTTTAAGCCACCAGATCTGGGACTCAAACTGCGTACGACTGCAGGGGAAGCCAGTGACATAACCATTGCGCCAACTGCTGGCCCTTCTCCTCCATTCTCCTCTCGGGATCTTGGGCACGCACGCAGACGCGCCCGGTGTGAGTTTAAGCCACCAGATCTGGGACTCAAACTGCGTACGACTGCAGGGGAAGCCAGTGACATAACCATTGCGCCAACTGCTGGCCCTTCTCCTCCATTCTCCTCTCGGGATCTTGGGCACGCACGCAGACGCGCCCGGTGTGAGTTTAAGCCACCAGATCTGGGACTCAAACTGCGTACGACTGCAGGGGAAGCCAGTGACATAACCATTGCGCCAACTGCTGGCCCTTCTCCTCCATTCTCCTCTCGGGATCTTGGGCACGCACGCAGACGCGCCCGGTGTGAGTTTAAGCCACCAGATCTGGGACTCAAACTGCGTACGACTGCAGGGGAAGCCAGTGACATAACCATTACGCCAACTGCTGGTCCCATACCTCACAAATATTAACATATATAATTATTTTCTGTCATTTAAAAAATAATAAATAAAATACATTCTACTTTGACATAGAAAGGCCTCATCCCAGGTCCCTGACTGCCCACAGAGTGCTGTCTGTGAAATAACAGCCCAGCTTTCAGTATTAACCACATGTGGGAAAATACGCCCCAGACGCGACATCTGGCAGCCCTCCAAACAGTTCTACAGCCCAGGATGTACGTAGGTAGTCAACAAAAGGGGATTCTTGAGCAGCGTGTGGAAGGTTCGGGAAGCCCTACAGGAGAGAAATCTGCTTGCTGTCTTTGAAACCCAGGTTCTTTTTCAGGAACGTCGAGTGTCGTAGTCACGGTATTTCGGGGTGCTGGAGCCGGGACCCCATACTCTGACATGCAGACGAAGCTTTCCTCCCCTGTACTTGAGGCCACTAAGAGACACTGCCTCTTGGGCCCATCTCTGCTGTCTTGTGGCCAGGGGCTCTGATGAGAGCCGGGGGAGGCTGGAGTGGCTCCCCTCCCCTCCTCCGTCCAGCAACTACTCTGCGTGACCCGTCGTCCCTCTCTGCTGGCCTCAAAGACTCAGCTCATTTCTCCTTCCACTAGAAGTTTCCTTCCACCTCCCCAGTTTCCGGAACTCCCCCGCCACACACCCACACACACACCCTGCAGAAGTGGCTGAGGAAGTGCAGGCTTTGGTGTCTACACTGCCCCTCGCTCAGCGACCGTGGCAAGAGTCTTTCTTTACATGTAAGATGGGATGAATCTGCTCCCTCTAAAGGCATGTCTGAGAGGGGTCGGCGCGGGTTCAAGAAAGGGGAGCCAGTGCTGCTGCGCGCGAGTGACTGTGAGACGTCACCAGGACGTGAGGCTCCATCCGAGGACTGCCCAGCTCTGCGCTTACTTACAGGTGGCCTTTGTCTCAGAGCCTCAGTTTCCTCTTTTGTAAGACAGGGACACTCATACCCATTCCTTGGGACTGCCGTCAGGGCTGCTGTCACGTGGTGCCAAAGCGACCATATTGGTCCTTTCCATTGTTCATGAAAGGTTTTGTTTCTAGAGGGCGGCAGGTGGTATGGTGGTTAAGGTGCTGGGCTCCCACATGGGCGACCATGGTTCAAGTCGTGGACCTGGTGGCTTGCTTTCTCGCTTTCACTCCCTCTCTCCACCTATCTGGTCAAATTAAATAATAATAATAAGAAGAAGTAATAATAAATAAAATTAAATAATTATTTTTTTAAAACTATTTTATTTATAAGTACTACAGGGAAATCCCATAAGCCGCTAATGCCGAAACGCCATCCAAATCAGCCAAATGACAGACTCCTCTCACTCTCTGACCTTGGATTCCCTGGTCCGAACCCTCTTCTCAGGAGTGCCAAACCTCAGTGGCTTTCTCCCTGTGTCCCAGAGAGTGCAGAACCTCAGCTTCTTCTCTGTGCTACCCCCGCCCGCCGTTTCCAGGAAAAGAGAAAATACCAATAAATAAACGTCCCTGAGCACCTGGGTGGTGCCCAGAATTTAGGAAGCTCATCTTACCCCATAATACTGCAAAGTAGAGGGCGTCAAAGCCGGGTCTTTGAGTGGCTAAAGGAGATCCCTACGGTCACACAGGTGTGTGAGCTGGGAGTCGAGTATCCGTGTGTCTAATTTCCCCTTCCCTCGCCCACTTCGACTTCATGTCCTCCAATAGAGAAGTAGGAAGGTAAGGAGAAGCCAAGGGAGATGACTCTACTGATGGATGTAGTATGCTAAATTGCTTCAAAAGATCATGTCACAGGGGCCAGCAGGTGGTTAAAGTGCTAGACTCCCACATGGCTGACTGTGGTTCAAGTCCTGGACCTGGCAGCTTGAAAATCACCCCAGGCACGTGTGTGTTCATGCTCAAAATCCCAGGATGAGAGTGGAGGAAGGGACTGCAGCTTGGCCATCTCCCTCCCAGACCCACTCAAGGGTGATTTGTCACTTTCCCTCTCTCTGTCTTGCTTCTTCAAGTACATGTACCCTATGGCAAAAACCTTAAAAAAAAAATTGTGTAACTGCGGAACAACAGTTAATATTTCAACAGGTTGTAAATGGTGGGGAGGAGATTATAAACAGGAAGAGATGGTATCTTAGGAGGAGTGAACAGTTTGAGATAGTATCCTAAGAGTGAGTAGTTTGAGGAATGCTTAGAAACAGGAAGAGGATTTGTTTTGTTTGATTTGGGGGATGGAGTAAAGTGAGAGGGGGAAAGAAGGTCTTTGGGAGAAAATAAGACTTGTAGACTATCTGTCATGGTGTCTTTTGGGGAAGAGGCAACGGGAAACAGGATTATTATAATCAAGAAATTGTAAGAAGAAAACAAAGACAATAAGAAACTCCAGGAAAAACAAAAGACTGTAAGGATTGTAATAACAGTTCACTACTTGGTTCTGCAGTGACTACAGTATTTATTAATACTGATAAAAATACTAAATAGAACTATATTGTGGACTGGCTCTGCGGCCGGAGAATTAAGGCAACCAGATCCCACACAGCCGACTACACAGTTCAAGTCCTGGACCCAACATGTGTGTGTGCATGCCCAGATTCCCCAAAGGAGGGAGAGGTGAAGGAGAGGTTATGGTGTGACCATTCCTTGTCAAGAGTGCTCGCTCCACTCCAAGGCTCTGGCTCTCTCTGACAAACACATATGCCCTCTGGCCAAAAAACAAAAACCAACTGTGTTGTAAAGATGGGAAGATAAGTGAGGATGGCATAGGAATGAAATCCTCATCTATTATCGTAGGAAGTCAGTGAATGTTTACAACTGACCACACGCAGCTGAAAGAACAATTTAAAAACCTACCAGTACAAAGTTTGGTTCACAAACCAACATCCCAGGGAGTTGTTAGAGATGCAGAATTTTGGGCCCTGCCCTGGACCCACTGAATCCAATCTGCCTTTAACGAGGTCCAGAGGACCCTGATAACATTGGTTTGGGGACTAGGACTGGGATGGGAAAGTGGAACAAGAAAGAAGCTTCTTGTCTTAAACCTTCAAGCAATATTGGATCTTTGTTTAGCCGTGTGGGTTTATTATTTGATTTTATTAATACGTTTCTGTTGTTGTTGTTGTTGTTGATTTGCCATAGGGCAGGCACATGCACTGGAGAGGGGAAGTGAGAAAGCAGCCTCCATGTGGGACGCCACAGCACGGCCCTGTGCCTCCATTCTCCTCGGGATCTCAGCCACGTGTGCCCGGTGTGTTTCTCAAGCCCTGGGGTCCAGGATTCAAACGGGGCAGTCGGCCATGTGCGATCCAGCACCTCACCCACCATGCCACCAGGCCCTGATTTGACATTTCTAATAGTGTGAAAACTAACACCTGGGCTTAATGGGAGGTGTCGGGGTCATGCTGGAGCCCTCCCGGAGGGACGCACGCTACCCCAGGTGTGGGTTGTACTGAAGTGAGCACCCCGCCGGGCTGTGTCTTCCCCTCATGTTCTCACCAGCCCCCCACCATGTGCTGCCTCCTGCCACGTTGTCCCACAGTGAGAAGACCCTCACCCCGTGCAGCCCATCGATCTTGGCCTTCCCAGCCCTCAGGGCAGCGAGCCAAACATTCCCCCCTCCTTCATACATTTTCCACCTGCGGTACTCAGTCTCAGCTGCAGACAGTAGACCAAAACACCCTCCCGGGCCAGTCTTCAATATTTTAGCACAGGCGCTTACACCCTGGCCTTTGTCTCTACCAGACCCGTCTCCAGGGCTTATCCTGCACTCCCCGTGGCCTCCTTTACATCAGCACCAGCTCCCCAGAGCGCGGGTCTCCTCCTCCTCACCTCCTGGTGCTCCTGTGCCCCGTAAGTACCCCATTCTCTCCAGCCTCCAGACTCTAGCTCTCCCCCCCGAGAGATGCACCGGGGAGATAAGTGTGCTATCATTGAGGGGGACTCGACAGGCTTGCCACCACCTGGTCGCTCCCATCTCTGTCGGTACCGGGGGGCGATGGGCCCTCAGATAACCCCAGCGGGGGCCACAAGCTTACATCACTTCCTCAGATGGTCGCTGATAACCTGAGCCCCGATCCCAAGGTCCCACCATTGCAGACATTTCTAAGGGAAAGTCTGTCCTGGCAAACAAAGCCTTCTGCAGAGCGCGGAAGCCGGACTCCGCTATTGGTTGGAAACGGCCTTTCTTGAGAACACAGAAAGGGGGCATTCGTGTTGTCTGAGAGCGACCTTCGTTCTGCCTTTCATCTTCGCCGTTGCGGTCGTTGGGGGCTTCACTCCATTTGCTAAGGTGTGTGGGTGTTAAAGTCATGCGACGGGAAGAAAGCGTGCCCGTGCACACACACCGCAGCCCCCTCTCCCTTTCTGCACGAGCTCTTGTGACATTCTGAACTAAAAAGGTCTAGTAGGTTAGACCTTGCTTTTTGCAATTTCTCTTAAAAAGTTGTTCTGCTCCTACAAACACCCCCTCCCAAAAAAAAAAAGACAAATCAGCCAGCTTTTCAAATGTGCAGAAGTGTGAAGAGGCAGTTCCCGGGTGAGGGTGTGCAAATGACCGACAGATGCCCTGTCTAGAATCAGGGCAGTGCTGACCGGGGCACCGTCTCACCCTCAGACAGGCTACCACCAGGTTAGTGCCACGTGGTGCCATGGGGAGCCAGGCTGCTGCCTCCCACCCCTGAGGCTGTGAACATCGGTTCTGCCACTCTGGGAGGGGATGACGCCAGTGTTTGTTAAAATGTACAATCTGCAGCCAGCTGGTGGCATGGAGTTACGGCAACTGGATCTGACATGCTGACTTGAGTGGTTGGGGTCCCGGACCCAGTGGCTTGAAAATGTACCGGGTACATGTTTGTGAGCCCTAAGTCCCGAGAGGAGAATGGAGGAGAAGGTTCGGTGGTATGGCCACCCCCCAGGGGGTGCTTTCTCTCTCTCTCCAGTGAGCACACGCACCCTGTGACAGGACTATACATGTACATGTTAAAAGTCTGTGTTCTCTACATCACAGCAGCTCCACTTGCAGCGAAAGCCAGGGCAGCTGTCCCACGTCGGGGAAGCTGGAAAACCAGCTGCAGGTCCCTCAGGAGGCAACTCACATGAAGGATGGAGCATCTGCCCTCTGGCAGACCGGACAGCGGTTAGGAAGAGTGAAGTGGGGCTACGCGATGTCCAGGGGAAGACCCCCGCCGCGTGTTTCTGAACAATCGTTCAGCGTGATGGCATGTCTGATAGGAACAGAACATCCAAACAGCATCACCTGCTTGTCCAGGGACGTAGACACATTTACAATGGCAGAGACCAGGCTCTGGAAGGGCCCAAATGGCCACACCGCTTACCTGCGGAAGAAGTCTGGGCTCCATGGGAGGGGGTCGGGGGAGCTTAGCTGTGCCTGTGATCATGGGCTATTGTACCATGTGAGGGGTTCAGGAAGGGATTGCATCACTAGGTAATTAACACGAGACATCTCAGGGTTCTATCAGGAGTTTTTATCTGGTGAACAGCATCACAAAATCGGTAACGTATCTTGAACATTAAGCATACAAAGACATTCTTGCTTCTCTTTAGAAAGTTATTATAAATTCATCCCATTTGGAGACCAGCAGGCGGTATGGTGGTTAAGGCACTGGATTCCCACATGACTGACAGCGGCTCAAGTTCCAGTCCTGGTAGCTTGAAAAATCACAACAAATAAAGATAAGCAAACGAAGAAGCGTTAAGACAAATCATCCCATTTGTCAAAAACTGTCACTGTCCATCTGATCGTTCTCTGTCTTCAACGGCACACACACACACACACACGTGCGAGCACACAGATGTGCATACACACTCGCACACACGTACACCCCATAACTCATCCTGGGCACTGCGACTTCCACCCCGTGCCACACTGTGCTACCTTTCAGGATGTTTCAACCACATCCAAGCAAGCCTTTCTGATGAGCTGATAGCTCTGCTTCCAGGCTTCCGTGCCACCCGACTGTCAACTCATAATTTCAGAGCTGCTGAAACCAACAGCCACCTGAGGTGCTGGTGGGGCCTGGGGCTGTGGGTGTAGCCTGACAGCCAGGCACCTGGTTTCCTGACCCCAAACCACACAGCTTCCTGTGCGGCCTCGTGAGCGTCTTAGGAACATGCTGCCCTGTCCCTCCTGCCAGGCTAAGGTTCAGAGCAGGCGCCAGAGAGACCGCGGGGCCGTGGAGGGCTGCTGGTGAGGCCGAAGTCATCTCAAGGAATGCAGCTTCCTTACAGCTTTCTCTATCCCTCATCGAACGAGGCGGGGTTGTATGATGGGAAGACGCGGCTCTCTGGATGAAAACGCAAAACCAGGGGTTACGGGCACTCGAGTGCCTACTGGTATAAATGCTCTCTCTCTCCAGGAGCAGGACCCACTGGAGAAGGCAAATTACTATCCTAGCAGAAATGGTTTTAGGCCAGAGGTTAGATGATGAGGTCAATGTTATCTTGGGTCCTCCGACCTTGGGGTGACCCTTTCTCTAGACCAGACATACCTGAATGTCTTTTCATTTCAATAAGATGGAGATTTTAGGGCTCCAAACACAGAGACCAATCATTCCCTAACAATGGCATGCAAAGCCCTCCCCAGAGGTTACCCACTGCGTCCAGGTGCTGTCCACGCAGCAGGGGTCATCGATGAGCAGCTGTGGGCTCATAGTGGCTCCGTTCCCTTACACACGAGGCGGGCCGGAGGGGTTCTTCCCTATGCTGCCTCCATTCCAGGCAGAGGAGGGCAGAACGTGGGGGGCCAGGCCCACACCTGACCACAGGCTTCACCGGTTCAGTGACCACCTTTTCCAACAAACATAAGAGAGCAAGCCGGAGGGGTTTGCAGATGAAGAGGAGCTTCGAACCTGTACCCGGCAGGCTCGGCGTCTATGTCCTGTGTTCCAGGAAGGTCCTCGCAAGGCTTAAACAATATGGCGGGTTCCGATCCGCCATAACATTATCCCAACGACAGACACACGGTGTCCCTCACGGGCTGGGAGTCTGACCTGGCCAATGACTCTTAGCTCAGGTCCTCCATCCCTAAGCGACACGGGACAGCCTGCCGGGGCTTTGGTGACATTTGATTCTCCAGTCTTCCTGTCCTGGGCAGCCGGCTCCCACCACACACACCTTCTATGGCTCTTTGATCAGCATCACACAGACCTGCCGGCCTGAGGGACCTCTGGTCATCGTGTGCACTTGGTGGCTGGCTTGGTGGGCATGCTTTTCAAACTGGGACAGGGGGATTGTAAAACTATAGATTCCAAGTCGTCAGGTTTGGGGTGGGGAGATCTGAGAGACTGCATTTCTTTTTTCCTTTTATTATTATTATTTTTTTAACTTACTAGAGGATTTGGTACACTTGCCAGAGAGAAACAGAGAGGAAATGAGAACGCACTCCTCAGAGGGATGGCCACGCCGCAATCTCCTCTGCTCCACTCTCCTCTTGGGATTTCAGGCACACACACACACACGCGCGCACACACGCTCGCTCACGCGTCTGCTCTACTTTTCAAGGGGCTGGGTCTGAGACTTGAACCACACCGCCGGCTATGTGGGATCCAACGTCCCAACCCCCACACCACCGACTGGCCTAGCCTGCATTTCTAACCTGCTTTCAGGCAGTCCAGAATGTAGGGGCGGAACTGCACCTCACGCAGCCAGACCTTAGGGGCCAGCCTCATTTCCATGTTTGGAAGGTGTGGGGGAGGGCGGGCGGGGGGGGCGCCTGCCTATGGGAGCCCTGGGAACCAAAGAGGATCCGAAGGGCCTGATGGGATGAAGCAGGTCCGTCGAAGATCTAGCAGGGCTGCAGCCAGCTTGAAGTTAGGGAAGACCTCTAAGGAGAACATCTGACACGGTGCTGACCACGGGAGGTTGTGAGGAGTGCTCGGTGAGACCCCGGGAGAGGGTGACTGAGGAGTCGGCACAATTACCCAGGGGACAGTGACTGACTCGGGTTGTAAGGAGGAATGATTTGCACCTTTTCGAGACAGTGTGACGGCGCTTGGTGACCATTTGCCTGTAAGACAGAGAGTTAAGAACACACTCCCTTCTCCAGCCTCTGCCCCTGGATACACTGACCCCAGAAGCAGCAGCTAGACTTAGCTGGCTGGTAACAAGACCGCGGAGCGGAGCGCCCTGGAGGCTGTGGGACACAGGAAAATGCTGACCATTCCTCTCCCCACTTATTAACTGGGGCTTTGGGCATGTGCTTTCACCAGAGACGTGAAGGAAGCATTCCCCAATGGGGCGTGGTCATCCCACCATCCCTTCTCCATTCTCCAGCCTTTGGGGATTGTAGGCATGCATGCACATGTGCCCAGCATCTTTTTCAAATTTCCATAGCCGGGATTCAAACCGCAGTCCACCATGTGGGATCCAGCGCTCTCACTGGGCTATAAGGCTGGCCCGGCTCAATTTCATTAAGAAGCCTCCATTTCTTTCTTTTTTTTAATTAGACCAGAGAGGGACGGGGCGGGCAGGGTGTGGGACGGGGAGAGACAAGTGAGAAAGCAAGCCACCAGGCCTGGGACTCAAACTGCAGTGGCTCATACAGGAGAATAGGCCTTACCCTCCGTACCACCTGCCGCCCAAACGCTGTTTCTTTAGCTTGTAAAGTGGGCGGTGCTATCCAAATATGGCCATATGTGTAGACATGCTGCGACTATACATTTATCCTTCATTTTCTCTGATCTAGATGAGTAGAATCGGAGTGTGTGTCCCACTAAAGATTGTTGCTAAATGCTGAGAATCTGGAACTAGGCTTGGCTAAAAATCCACCCTGAAACCACTCAAACAGCTCTGTTGAGAATCTTCTGGTTTTCTAAGGTTTACAGAACTTCTTAGGGAACCCAGAATGATTTATGGTTTGCTACCACAACCCTACGACGCTAGTGGTTTCAACCAAGCTTCACTTGAACAACCCTAAAATTCAGCAGAAAGCTGGGGAAAATCCACTCGAAAGAAAACTGCTCCCCTTGAAGTTCTCTCCTCCCCAGAACTCTCCCGGGTCCGACCTTGGAATCTGTTCCGGTAGGGCTGGCAATTCCTCTTTGGCTGAGTTTTCTGAAGAGGGGGTTTAAATACTAACAAAGCAGACTTCTGCTTTGACCCGTGAATTCCAACCCACTCCAGAGATTCTTTAAGAGAGACTGCTAGGTGTATTGAGACCAGCAGGTCCCAAGAGGAAGAAAACAAAGCAAAACAAAACAAAGGCATGATGAAGGGGATTTCCAGGGAGCCGTGAGCGATCCGGCGCAGGGATGGCCCGAGTACCCACCGCCACAAGTCTACTCAGCGGCGTGC